CATGGCTGTAGCCAGCATGGCTGAAGGCTCTGAGGTGAATCCTGTCTCCAGAGAAATGTGTGAATTTGTGGGATTTAAACGCTGTGGGAGTCCAGGACATCCCTCTGGCTGCCCTGGCTGGCTCCAGACCCTGGCAGGGGGCTCAGAGACCCTGGCACAAAGTCAAAAACACCTGTGGCTTCGATTTTAACCCATGGAAAAAACTGCCAACTCTGTATGAGGAATTACAAGCCACAAGGGTTTGAGTAGTGTGGTAGTTGAGTTAACACAGTGTGAAAAAGTAGAATTTTAGGGTTTTAAAGGAAGGGGTTCAAGGGGACAAGATGGAGGGATTTGGGTGTGTTCTGACCTTCTTCTTCTTCTTGCCCTCCATGTCGTGCTGTGATGGTGACACTTTTCTATTGGTTTAAGGTAGAGACACACTGTCCAACATAAATGATAGATATTGGCACATTAATGTAAATATAGTACAGGTAGTTTTGAGTATAAAATGGTAGCACCACCCCAAGAGGGTGGGAGTGTGTCACAGACTGACCTGCTGGACAGACTGCAGCTCCTTGGGAAAGCATCTTATAGAGAAGGGAAAATAAACAACCTTGAGAAGCTGATCCTAAGCACTCTGACTTCTTCTTTGGCCGTGCAGGCTGGGAGAAAAAGACTTTTTACAATCTCAGGGTCACCTTGACCACCCGCCCCCGAGAAAATGCCACAAATGGGAGTGTGAAGGTTACCAGGAGAAGTGAGATGGGGACAAAGTGCAGGTGCTCCTCAGCCCTGTGAGGTGTGAGGAGCTGGTGAAGCCCTGAGCTGCTGCTCCTCAGCTTTTATCAGCGCTGAGCAAGGCTGTGGCACAGCCTAGGACAGGAAACCTTTGCTAATTGGGCTTTTGGGGCACATCTCTCCAGGCCCACGAGGTGTCCACAAGATTAACTTCTTATCAGGTTTCACCACTGGGGTTTTCACTCCAGCCCTAATTATGCCATCCACAGAGAAAGACCAGACAGATGCCTGAAGGCTACGGAGTTCTGGGAGCACAGCTCGGAATCACTTAAATCCTACCCCTTTGTGCAGGACTCGGCTTGCTCTGCCCATCAGTCTTTCCCATGGATTATTTCTGCGAAGAAAAAGTAAACCTATTCTAATTAACTTTGGATGGATTGTTTCACAAAAGGATAAAACCAATTAGCATTTCCTTCCCACCTTGTGAAGCCCTTACGTGGTGTTGTTAAAGGTTATGTTTCTGAAACCAGCTGACAAGAAGGTGAATAAATCCAAAGCAATGAGAAAACGCTGTGTGCAATTGAGTGATTTAAGTGCTACATTTATTTATCAAGAAATACATGTACTTTAAGTTTTCTTTTCTAAGACTGGGTACTTTAATATTTGTTTTATTGGGACCTGCAGCTGAGTCTGTAGCTAGACCAGGACCTCATTGCTGGCCAGAATCATACAAATATCTATCAGAGACAGAGGATGGATAGAAATATTTCTTTTTGGATTTGATTAATGGCAGATGAATGCACACAAAATAAAAATATCTGTGTCTGAGGAAGCCAGGTCCTGAACCCAGCTCTGAAGGATGCACCTCACCCCAGAGCTGTCCTGTCCTGGCCAGCCTCTGTTTCTGCCCTCCTGAATCCTTCTGCCACATCTGTAGGAGATCCTCCTCAGCACTGATATCTCCCTGCAGGTGGGAAAGGAAAATTCCTGGAAAATTCCTGGAAAATTCAGTACTAACATCTGCTGATGTGTTTTTTTCACTTTTAAAAAAAATTTCATCACTACTGCTGTAGTTTTCCTTTTAAATTCTCCATGCCCTTTTCAATATGAAGTTCATAATCCTTAATTTCTTTCTCTGTTCCCTGTTTCCCTCAAATTTCTGGAACTGCTCCCGCCTTGCTCTTTAGCCATCTGGTTATACCAGCTCCTTACACACCCTTTATGCCTTAAATGCAATTTCCATATGCTTGGCTGATTTGTGGGCATGGATGACATTCCTCTCTCCTCCTTGTTTCCCTCCTTTGGTAGCTTTGTCATTCTCCTGTGGTTTGGTTTAGTCCTTTGTTAGAATCCTGAATGCTGAGAATTTTAAACTTTCTGTGCTGAAGGGCACAAACCTACAAGAAAATACTATATTTGAGAAGACTTCCAAAATTGATTAGTAGCACTGGGATTACGGGTGTGGAGTTTGAACAGGGTGGAAAACTTAGAGTTTGGGGATTTAGAATATAGCAATATATATGGGGCAAGATGGAGGTTTTAGGGTCATGGCTGGTTGTTCTTCTGAACCTTCTTCTCCATGGGTGGTATTTTGTAATTGGAAAGAAAAGTCCACAGTGCAGACTTTGAGTGATTGGTTATTGGGTTAAAAGTGAAAATAATTCAGGTGTCATTTCTTAACTGGATAGTTTAGCCTTAAAAGACCTTGTATGGGAAGATAGTTGGCCCTTTTGTAGCTTGTTAGTAGAATGCTGTAGAACTCAGGACTTGTAATATAGATTCAGACCTGAGTCTGAATATGAATTATCATCTGGAGAGCTTCAATCCCAGCCTTGACAGAGGTAGAAAAAGAAGCCAGGAACTGGCAGTGCCTCTCTCACCCCTGCTGTACAGCTGGAATAAGGTGCTGCTGCTGAGGAAGGAGCAGAAGGAGATGCTTGCCCTGAGCAAGCACCTCATAAACTGAGATGTTTATGAGATTTATTTCTCATAAACTGAGAAATTTATGCAATGAAAGTTCCCCAGGCACGAGGTTGGAACCTCGTGGCTGTGATGGCACAACTAAAATTCAAACCCTGTCCCTGTGGCACACGCAGGAGAACCTGGCAGAGCTGTCCTTTGAAGGCAGCACATTTCCCCCCCAGGTTTCAGTAGTGAAAGCCCTCACAGACTTGGATTCAGGGATTGGTAAGAGCTGATGCTGGTGGAGATGGCAAAGCTGGAGGTGTTCACTGTCACTTGCTCACCTGTGGCTTCACCTCTCCTGTTCTGCTCTCTGCAGCTGTGCCAGCATCCTGCAGAAAGAGCAGATACAGACAGAAAACAGAGATAGTTTTCTTTTTTCCACAGAGCACATAATAAAACTGTAGAATTTATGGGCACATGCTGCTGCAGTGGCCAAAACTGTAAAGTATTTAGAAAAGAACTGAGAAATTTATGCAATGAAGGTTCCCCAGGCAGATCCAATGTCTGGCACAGAAAGTCATCAACCCACCTATCCCTGGGCACCAGGGAGGTGTTTTAGCACAACCTGGATGCTTTTCCTGTTCTTTTTTTCCCCAATATTATTGATAGATGTTTTACAGGGGGCTGCTGGTGTGACTTTGTGTTTGTGCTGAGACACCTGAGGGCAGCCTGGGCTCTCTGAGGTTGGTGTTGCACCTTTGAGTTGATAATGCAATATTTACCTGACAAAATTTCTCTGTCAGAAGAGCCAAAAAGATCTGAATTATCTGGTTATACCCATATGTGCATGTATAGATACTCCAGACCAATGATGTCTGTTGATAATGGGCAATCTCACTCAGAAATGCTCTGTGCTTCCAGCCTCCCAACCATTCTGCAGGGAGCAGCTTGTAATTTAATAAAAGCACTGTTGTCAGTCCTCCTCCCTCCCCAAACAGGCTTTTTGTGATGCTTAAATATAATACCAAGATAATTGCTTTGCCTGGCATCTCTAACACAAGATGCATTTCAGGCTTTTAAAGTCAGGGGGAAAACAAAAGTGTAAATCAAAATAATTATTTAAGGAAATATGAATGCACTGGAAAAGAGGAGTGAAAAAATGAGGAAAAGAAATTAATTTTCAAAGCCTGCACTGTCCTCATTCATTGGCTTAGAAATCAGCCCAGTGCTGTGTCTTCAGTGGGTGCAATTTCATCACAAAATTATTTGATGCTGTTTCTTTTACTGATTGAGTAGACAGCCTGTTGTCTGTGGGCTCTCATTCTCTTTTAGGCCTCAGCCAACATATAGGCCTGGCCTTTCTCAGGTTCTTTATGTTTGTGCCATGTGAATGTTGGTGATAAATAAAAAAGAATTTTTTGGTTATTTGGAAAAAAAAAAAAAAACAAATTACATGTGATTGAAAAGAGCATTTAAATACCCAAAAAATCATTTAAATGCTTCCATTGTGTTCACTGGTGGTTAGCACCTCTGGAATTAATTGGATTTAGATAGCTTTGTTACATGGAAATTCAGCCTCTTTTCAGATCCTTCTGTTACTCACTGGCCATAAAGAATAGCTTGGCCTCCTTTTCTCTGTTTAATTATGACATTACAAATTGCAAGGTAAACTTTAAGGATTGATGCCAACATTTTATTCAGTCCAGCAATGTTTGCTCCATGTTCCTGTTTATTCCCCCATAATTTGTTTTTATGTAGCAATAGAAATCCCCTCTCTTGCCAAATGCCTCGTTTGTATGAATAATTAAATTGACAGTAAAGCACCCGATCCACCTCTTCATTATTCAAGTCTTCCTAAGTTGCAGCATTATTGATTCCAGCAGAATGATGCTGCAAGGGCCCAGGAACATGTGGTAAATCAGGCTTTGGGTACCCTGGATTTGTTAAACATTTTATAAAATATTGCTGGTTCATCCCTGTCCTTGGAAACCCCAGCCATGATCCACGGTCCTGTGGCGCCACAAATTGTCTTGGAAGACTTGGGTCACATATCAGTGGCAGTGTTTTATTCTTTATTTCCTTCCTTGCCTTTTTAAAAGTTTCTTTTTTTCTCTGAAAACTCTGATGAAAGCTGGAAAGGGTCACATCTGAATCACCACTGAAGCAAATTAATTTGGGGCATTTCTTTGCTATCTAAATATAAAATAATGGTCATGACATGTGACACAGTCATTTCTGTGTTGTTTCTCTCCTCTCCGTGCATGAACCTGTGTTCACAGCAACTTTGCTAAAGTTTCCTGAAGTTTTCTGTGCTCTTTTCCTCTGGGCTATCAAGAAAATGAAGTTTTCCCTCCATTTTCTCTCCGACTCCGCAGGCTCATTTGGACTGTGCATTTTGATGTTTCTCTCAGAGCTGAAAACATCTTGACAACACAAACTGTGAGGTAAAAACTACATTATTACCAAGTGCTTTTTATTTCAGTTCCAGAGCATTTCTGAATCACACCATTTTCATGACCGATATCAAGGGAATCATTTCAGTGGTGCAGCTCAGGATCACTGAAATTCCACAAATATCCAATATAGAGTACAGGATACAGCCACAGAGATAATAATTTCTCTTTCTGGTGACCCTCTACAGCCTGATACTTGACTGCTCTGAGGGCCAAGATTGGGGTTTTTACCATTTTCATGCATTTCTACAGCCAGAAACAGCAGACATGATTAAGACAGAAAAAGGTTTGGTTCAAAGAGAAGCTGTCTGAAGGGTGTCTGCACAGGGCCAGGTGACACAGAGATTGTCCCTGTGCCACCATGAGTTAGAGAAAATTACACCCATTTCAGGATTTGAAGAGGCAAATGGACAGAAAAAAGTTTTCATTTTCTAGGGAGAAAATCTGAAGAGATTCTAACCAGATGTTGCAAGTGCTCTGTTATAGATATCTCTATTTACCAGTACTGTTATTTTTTGAGCTCTCCCTGTACACACAGACACACACCTGACTTACAGCGCACACTGAAGTATCTGCCATTGGCTGGTGCAGAATTAAAAGGGAAAAAGTAATATTGTGGTCACAATCCAGCCGCCATTGTAAAATTCTCTCTTTGTCATCCCAGCCATATCACTGAGTATCTCTGCGCCTAGCTTTCCTAGTCATGAACCAAATAAATATAATTACTGTGGTCTTCTAAGAACTGTGCTTGTATAATACTGAAATATGACAGCAGACTCCCATTCAGGGAGAAAGGCAGGAGGTATTAAAAAGTTGTTTTTCAACAAATTCTGCTAGAGAAGACAGCTTTTTAACAGGTGGGTAAGTTACCAGAAAGACCGATTATTTAAAGTTATGTAGCTCAAGAATAAAACAAAGAAGTGCTTTCAGCTTTCAAACAGAAAGAGAAATAGTGTTAAAATTCCATTAGCTACTGTGACAAACTGCCAGATTAAAACATGAATTGCTAAGCAGGTGAGGTGGGTTTGAATACTGAATGCTGTTGATTTTTTTCCCCACTCCTGTTCTAATTTATTTCTCAAATCATTTAAAACTAGTGAAAGAAGGTCTGAGAATATTTTTTCCTTTTTTACTTTTCACTGGTGAGATTGATTTCTTCCTCTTGTTTTTCTTAATACCATACTTTTAAAATTACCATACAAATCCAGTTCTCCATTTATGATGCATTAAATGTAAAAAAAAAAATTATTCCAATTATGTTTCTTCCCAAGCCTAGAGACCTTGTGTTGAAAGCAATATGCATAAAACTCATTGTTGTGTATTTAGTACTGCGCTGTTGTTAAAAAGTACCCTTGAGCTCTTCTTAATAACTTGGCTGGTTCTCCTTGGGATCTGTATTTTAATCCATGAGATGTTAGCCTTGTAGAGGCTAAAATATAAAGATATTATCTGATATGTCAGTGTGGAGCTCTCAGAAGGAAAGCTGTGCTTGCAGTGCAGTCCCTGCAGAGCTGGGAGAGGTTCCCAGCTGAAGGGTGCTGCACTTTTCCCTTGCAGAGGGAAGGAGAGAGATTTTCCTCCCCATGTGAGTCCCTGCATCTGCTCTGGGGGTAATTTATGATGCTGACACCAAACATCTTTTAAAATCCCATCACCAGGGGAGGTATCAACCCCTATGCTCATCCCCCTCATCAGCCCTCCAGCCCGTCTGACTACCCTGGTGCTTTGCAGTTTTGTGTTTCAAAAGTGAATTCAGAGCTGGTTTGCTCGTTCCTCCCTCCAAAGTCTTTCCTTGTTTGTTTGGAATTCCCATTCCCCATCTGGGGACAGATCCCTCCCAGCACCCAGGGCTGCCAGCAGTACAATCCTGCAGCACTGCAGACCCAAAGGGTGGCTCGAGTTCCTGCTGTCAGTAATCCCACTTTTCCCTGATCCCTGGCTGCTTCATCACCTCTTCATGCAGAGGAGCTTTTGGACTGATTGAAGGCACTCTAGAGCTTGGCACGAGGATTAGGGACTTCAGGAAGGTCTAAGTGCTCCTTGTGAGCTTCCCTGCCCAAAGCTGGCATTGCCTCCTGCAAAGTGATCATTCTGCTCTCTCCATCTGTATTCCCCACCTCCTCTTACCCTACAAAGTCATGAGGGCTTATCAGCTGCAACTGCTAAAAGGGCAGGGAGGAAAAATAATCAGCAAATGTTTCATTCACCATAATCTAAAAATGGTGATGGCACTGAGTCAGCAAAGGTGGGACTGGGCAAGGAATGGATCTGTGAGTCATGTTTATAACCAGCTTTTGTTGTAATCACTACAAAGATGCATTAATTAATGATAAAATCAAGGGAAGTGCCTGGCAGGATAGAGACAGAGAGATTAGAGAAGATGGAAGGCACTTGTAAACTCAGGCTGAACCTGAGGAAATGATTGTGTGTCCACTGTGGGGGATTAATCTAAAGCAAACCAGGCATGAAGTAGGAAGAGAGATGAATGCAATGAAAGGCAAGAGTCAGGAAAGCAGAAATGCTGTTTGGTTTTACAACATGTTAGGCTAGCATACAGCAAAACATAAAATGACTCCATTTGTTCAGTTTATTCCACCAAACAAATCAAACTATGTTTGTAGAGATCTTTGCAGAGAAGATGCAATGGATCATGGATTAAATGGGAGTACTGCTAAATTGTCACCTCCTGTGGCTTTGGATTTCATTGTTTGAAAGAGATTTGCAGAATTTGAAACAAATGGGGTTGACAAAGTCATTTAAAGACATGAAAGTTTTGTCTAATTAAGAAAAGGTAAAAGAACTTAGAAGATTATGAGTGACACCACCCATCTACAGCTGTCGAGTGGCTGTTAGCATGAAGGGAAAGGAAATCCTTCTCTCAATGTTTCAGGGAAGACCTCAGATTTCACGCTGAATTCTGAACTAGGCAACAGAAAATGTCTTAAATAATATGCCATGTAGAGTCCTGAAGGAAAAGGAGTTTTTCCAGTGAAGTTGCTCTTCTCCCCAAAAGTTTTGTCCTCATCCAGTGCTGATTTGGATGAGTGTAAGCAGGAGAGGATGGGGTTTGAAAGGAGGGTTTTTCCCCTTGGCTTGAGTGAGGACAAGACACAGTGCTGCAAACTAAAAGCAACACCCCCTATTAAACACCCCTGTTAAACAGCACAAACAGCACCAGAGCATTTTCACATTCACTTCTCTCATTTGGCCTTTAAAACCTCTCACCTGGAGCTTAAATGACAGATCCTCCTGTTTCTGCAACGCTTTCTTCCTGGCCCCTTTCAATAATTTATATTCATCTACCCCTCACGCCTGGGCTCCTTTTCATTGCTCCTTTGATAAATAGCAAGACATGAAAGGTACAGGAGATGCTGAGATATGACCATGGCTCCAAACACTCCTGGTGTTGCAGGGAAATAACTTCATTACCACTCAGGCTCTTACTGCTTGCCTGGGAAATATCCAGGCAGTGCCTGAAGTGGAAATGTGTGGCAGCAAGAGAGGGAGAAAAGGGCTCCTTGTGTCTGCAGTATTTCTTCATGCATTCAAACCAGAATTGTCACAGTTCATTTTAACCATTTCACATGGAAAACCACAATAAATGTGTCCAGGAACCCCTTTTCTTGAAGCAAGCAGAAATTACAATGTTATTTGTTTTTACCCACAGCAGTGTTTAGACACGGGCTGCAGAGACTCCAAGTCCCTGGGAATTTTACATTAGTGCATACATTTTGTTAGCAGCCTGTGCCCAGAACAAATTCTGTCTCCAAGATGTCACTGTTTAGAACTTTCCTTTTTAGCAGTGATGTGGAAGGACTTCAGTAAATGGCAGCACTTGGCACAGCTCCATCCCACTGAACAGAGACTAATTTGAATTTTATTCATTCCAGACTATTTATTTCCATAGCAGAGAACAAGAAACTACTTAGAGGGTGATAGAGATCTCTCCTGTTGCTTGTCCTTCCCTTCTGGGTATTTAGCTGGCCAAAAGGACCAGTCTTTCAACCCTAATGACCTCCAATAAATAACTGCACTCAGTGGCCCAGCCCAGGCTCTGTGTGTGGGTGTCGATTTTCCTTCTAGTAATATTTAATCTGCTGAAGGGATTAGAAATAGGAAAAGATTTTGATTAGAATGAAATCACCCAAATTGCCCTAAGCTCCTAAAGTAATACAGGCAGCAGAAGTACCAGTGAGCTTTCCCTGACACTGTTTTTGGTGGAGTCCTTCAAGACAATCCTGATTTCTAACCACGTCCTGGATGAGTCTCCTTAACCCTCCACGCTCTGATTGCTGCTGGGCTTTGCTGGAGTGGTTTTGCACTGTTGCTGCAGCAATTGTCCTTTCCAGAGGAACTTTCCCCAGCATGTTTCCCCACCAGGAATCGTCTCAGTGTATTGGGCCATGAAGATGTCAGCATCAGGCACATCCTCAACTCTGAATTCACTCCAGGCACTAAAACTGATATTAACACATCTTAAGCTAATGAGTCCCTTGAGTTGTAATTCCTTCCAGAAGCTATTTGCAATGGACTTAGCTGGCTAATGGTTATGTGTTTGAACTTCATCCTTTCATAATAAATTCCACTGCTAATTCCTGGCTTTCCTGAAGCTTTGTTCTTCCAGATTCACACTGTGGATCTCTCCTGGGATGCCTTCAGAGCAAGAGCAGGCTGCTGATTTGTAGTCAGAAGCCACACACCTTTATAAAAGATTCAAAATACCTTGTTTTAAAAAAGATTTTAATTTCATTACACTTTCAGCTCTAATAAAAAGCTGGGAGCAACACTTACTGTTTGTCCAATAATTGTTCTGATTTTCTGTGCCAGTCGACAGAACCTGGAGTGAATTTGTTATGAGGGGTGAGCTCCTCTAGCTGGAGATGCAATCTGGCGCTACAAGCACTCTCATATCCTTTTATTTCCATTAAATTAATGGGTTTTTTTTAATATCAGTTTTAAACAGGCATGCAGAATGCTGATTTCCTACTGGTCATTTTGTGGTTTTGGCACAGCAAAGTGTTTGTGAGCAGCTCAGCCAGCCCCACCCATGTCCCTGAACCCAAGTTTGTCCTTTATCACACCTGCTTAGGATGAGGGGGAAGTGTCACCATAGCAGCAAATTTTCTTTTCTCCAGATATATTTGGCTATGGTTCAGTTTGTTTCGGCTGACTTAAAGACAAAAGTAGACCTTGTCCATCCCTTTGATTTTCCTAAGGGTTATTTTTTAGTATGAGCATGGATTCTTCAAAGGCACAGTCTCATGAGTGACCCACTAAAGATGCAGAAATCATAAGAAAGCCCTAAAAAGTTCCAGTTGGTTTGTGATTAGCATTTTTTAATTGTTTGATCATTTTTATGCAGAAGCCATAACCAGCTCTGTTATCTGCCTCAGTTCATAATTGACAGCAAAGTGATTTTATCAGCATTCCTTGTAACATCTGTTTCAGAATAAGACAAGAGGAAAAAATCCGAATTAATTTGTGGATAGATTAGCTTTGAAAATACATGAGACTATTCCCATAGTTCCATTTTCTTAAAGCAGTCCCATGCTGTGTTGTTTATTATTCCTGTATTTCTGATATTTAGAATTCAGTTTTTTAAGGGAGAGAAGTGCTTTAGTACCTGCATCAGTAAGGAATAAATCCAGTTGAGTGTTTGAACTTGCAGTGTCTGGAATGTCTGGTCCACGCCAGACATGCTGGAGGTAAAATTAAAGGATACTCAGCTTTCTATGAGTTTTTTTTTTTTTGTGTTTCTGGTTTTTAGATGTTAATTTATTGGTCATATTATCTGGGACTATTTCAGATAGTGTTGTTTAATACTCATTAACAATTGACCTTTAATTTTTGTCTATTCATTTTTCTTTTTACCCAGACTAAAATATGATTTCTGGCAGTGTCCAACTCTGACACACTGCCCAGGAGAGTAAGTTGTGACTTTTTGGCATCATTTCCATTTGTAACTTCATTTCTGCATCTGATTTTATCCCCTGAAGAACAAAGCTATTATATTCCATGAGACTACACCAGCAAAAAGACATTGAAGTGAGTAGAAAACCAGGCCAGGAATTTGGAAATGTTTTTATTGCATTGACACATTTTGATTTAATGTTCTTTTTTTAAACCATTCACTTGTGCAAAATATCATTATTGCAAAACAAATGGAACCATCACATATATGAATGGAAGAGGACATTGCTGTCAATCTTAATATTCTTCATTGCTTCATCCTTAGCAATCACTGTTGCTAATTTTGTAACTTTTAAGGAAAAGTTGTTTTTACTTATCTGTTATTCAAGTTGATTCTGGGCAATTTTAACCCACGACAGATACCCCACTCTGTCAGAGGAGGAACTCTGGGCTCCTAAAATGACCTAATCCAGGGAGTTATCCCACAGGAACCAAGTGGGAATGTTTCCAGAGGGATAGGGAAGCACTCAGTTATCCCCACTTGGGTCACCCATGGCTGGCACCTCCTCTGGCAGGAGAGACCCCTCCTCTCTTTGGAAAACCAAAAACTAGGAGTTAGAAATGTGAGCTCACCTCAAATCCCTGTAAAATCCCCTCCTATTTAGTGCATTTCCCATTTTTCTTTGGAGGCAGCAGAATTATCATGACAAGAATAGTTCTACTTGTTGCCAAATCTTGTTTTTTCTCAGTTTTGGGAGCTTTTCTCATCTGACATTTAATGAAAGAAAACACCTCTCCTCCCAAAGACAGTTTAGCCTTCCTCTAACATACAACCCTCCTGCTGTAAAATATATTATTAATGCTTTAATCAAGCAGCAGTGCTTTGATTAATGTCTTCTCCTGGGTCACGAGCAGCGAGGGAGCATCATTAAAACCAGAAGTTGAGTCATGGAAAGAGACATGGCAGGAGAGGAGCTCCAGAGTCTGTCATCAAGGAGCTCATCTCCTCGCTGGTGTCGTGTTTGGAGTCACCTGGCTGGTGTTGTTTGCCTCCCTGCCTCCCCCTGGCATCCCTCCTGCCCGGCTTTGTGCCCCCGGTGAGGCTGAAACCCGAGCCCAGCCCGGGGCTCCCTTCCCGCAGGTGTCGGATCACAGCCCCAGCACCTGCAGGAGAGCAGCACTGGGGCTTCAGAGCCAAAAACAGAGCCCCAAACCACACCCAAATAAACAGCTTGTTTATTTGGAAACATCTGAAGTGTTTTCCCTGCACTGGCAAAGATCATTTTTATACTGAGCAAGGAATTTGATAAACACTCGTATTTATGTCATTTCAAAAGTGTTTCATTTTCATGCAGTGTGTATGCAGAGGGTGATATATAAAGAACATTTCCTCACTGCCATTTATGTATGGATCACTTCCATGCATGTTTGATAAGAAGTTTTCTTTGCCTCCACTATTTAACACCGCAGAACTTCATTTTCTTAATTCTTATTGCTTGTGTTGGACATCTTTGTGTGCATAAATAAATACACTGTGTTTAAATAAATACCCTTCCTTGTGCATACTCTAAGATATAGATGTGTCACAAATGGTGAATGAGGAATGAATTTGAGAAATGTGAGGGGGAAAAACATCATTGTTCTGGTTCCTTTAAGAATTTTTTGGGCTCTCACTAGGCAGGAACGGGGAGTTTTCTCTTTGACATTGATTTGCAAACTGCAGAAATCATTTTCTGCAACACATCTCAGTGTTAGAATGTCCTTTAAAGGGATGTCCCATGCGCCACATTATTTTCTGTTTCGAGACAGTTATTTTGAGAGAATTCATGCCCTTTTATTAACAAGAGAAATCAGGGGGCAGCAATTTCACTGGCGGATTATTCACAGCAGAGAACCCAAAGGGTTGCTCTGGATGTGGGCTTGGAGCTCACAAGCAGCAAATTTCAGGCTCAGTCCGAATTTTTATCCTTCCCTCAAGGCAGAGTTCCAGGTTCCGTGCAAACTGATGTGTGCACTGGGCTGGTTTAGAGGTGTTAACAAAAGCCCAGTGATTTTGGGCAATATTAATGACTCCTGCAGCAATTATCTTATGAAACAGGCAGATTAAGCCCTCAGATGGGCAGGCAGATGCAGAGCTCTGGCGTGTGGGTGACACTGGCAGATTGGGCTCAGATGAAGCATTTTTGAAACGTGAGCAAGGAGAGTTGTGTAACAGAGCTCCTCACCCCTTTGGCTTTCCACAGATCACCTTCCTAGAAAATCCTAAAAAAGGAAATCGTTTCAGGAATTTCACAGCTTGGGGTAACTTGCTGCTGGTGGGTTCAGATCCCCAGAATTGTATTTTTCAGCCATTCTGGAGAATAATTTACTCATGATTGATTCTTCCCTCTGAGCTCGGAATTCTTGTTGCTGATCACAGCACAGTGAGTAACCACAGCAATTTCGGGGATTGCAGTGAAGTGACCTGCTGCTGTGGTTGTAGCTGGATCAAGAGGAATAAAACCTTGAAGAACTAAAGAGTTAAAATCCCTCACATACCCAGGACTGTGAAAAAGAGAATGGGAGAAAGAAATAAGGGACAAAACCTTTTATTTAAAGGCCTAACACTGGAGCAAAGTCCCTCAAATGTGCCCCATATATTAATTCAGCATCACTCATGTGGCTGGAAATGAAAGAAATGCTCCATTTGTTCGGAATGCTTTGGGTTTGCATTTAAAAGTAAAATTGCCAAGGTTCTACAGGCGTGTTATTTGTTGGGTTTTTCCTGCTTTTATGTTTGCAGAGTTGGATAAACTTTATCACTTTAATAGTGTATCTGGGAGATGTTTGCTCATGTGTTTTCTATAGTCATATATCAACATCAACATTTTTTCATGGATTTTTCACGGATTTGTGAATAATTCTGGCTCTGTCTGGAAAACATAAGTGCCAACTGGTAAAAATCAAGTGTGAGAGGAGATCTGGATGTCTCAATAAATAAATATCTATAGAAGTGATTTTCAACTCAATCTAGTGGTTCTTAAAACACATTTCATAAAGTGTTTCCTGTTAAAAGGCCAGCCCAAAAAGATTTGAGAACTTTTTTTTTTGACAGAGGTGCAGTTCCCTTCTTAAGCAAGTGTTCCCTCACCTCAACCCTGTGAGCTGTGATTTCTTATTGTCATTTTTTTGCAATAAATTCATCACTGTTTCAGTGGTAATGCTTTGACTAAAGCTGAATTTTCCTAAACACTCAGCTGTGTTTGATGAACATACACTTTTTCTGTTTCGCTGTGTTTCTGTTTTCACTTTGTTAGAACTCTCTTTTTTCTCTCTTTTTTCTCTCTCTTTTTTTTTTTCTTTCTTTTTTTGTGAATGTAGAAGGCCAGCAGGGTAGAAGAATTTAAATATTTAGTATCATGAATATTTGATTACCTTCAGGATTATATTTGTACCTAAAAAGAGAGAAAAAGGAACGTGTACTTCTGTCCATCTCTCAGGCTGCCTGCAGCCTGGGCCCAGCAGCCACAGACTGCCTGAGCAAAATAATCACATTTTTGAGATTATACTGTTGGGTGGTGTTTGTGTAAGTGGAAAAAGTTTTTTAAGACAATGTGACAAAGTTTGTGTCCAATTTTTGAAGGTGTATTTGTATTTTTTCAAGTGCACACCCAGTAAAACCAATGGGAAACTTTATTGATTTCAGGCCCACTGAGAAGCAGGAGGTGACTTTGTTGTGCTGCTTGGATGGATTTTCTTGGCCAGGGCTCAGCCTCACTCTGCATTTGTGGTTTTGCTCCAAATATTTGGAAAAACTACCCACTTCCAGCACAACTGGCAGCAGCCACTTCCCCAGGTTGAAGAAAGGTTTTTGGTGTATTCCTCATGCTCCACCCCTGCCAGGGACCTCTCTAGAGAGCTCTGAGCTCCTTGTGCATGTTCTGTTTTTGAGGCATTTTTAAACATTCTCAGTGCTTTTTTTTTTTTTTTTTTTTTTATTGTATAGCTTTTGTAGCTGTCTCTCTTTAAGACTCAGGGCAAATTGTTCACAGGTTTTAAATTTATAATGAATCCAGCAACTTCTTTATTTAACCATAACATTTTGAAAAGGTCACCTGGATATTTGGAAAAGCAAGAATCAAGTTAATTGCTGTGTAGTCCTCTAAAAAACCTCTGTTCAGCTGAAGATTTTGCCCAATCCTGGCAGGACTGCAATAAATGAGACACCTGAGGGACAGGCTGTTATTCCAAACACAGATATAAGTCAAGCTGCCACCCTCTGAAGTGGGCTTTTCCAAGGGTCCAGAGAAGAAGAAAAGTTTCTTGGTGCACTTATTCTGATTTACAGAATAAATCCTTACAGCAATCAGAGCTTTCTAATGCTGCTGACAGTCCCAGGAGCAGCAGAATTGTAGAATCCTGGGATTGGTGAGGTTGGGAAAGAACTCCAAGGTCATCAGGTCCAGCTGTTGCCAGAGCTCACCCCTGGGTCAGGGGTGGCTCCATGTGGTGGAAAAGTCTCTCCTCCAACCCGTGCTTCCAAAGAAAGGCTCAAAAATCTTCTGTTGTCCGGTCTCAAGGCACTTTATTGCAAATTATCGAAAAGATTTTCTTCTCGGGCTGCTGGTACATTACGTGTTACATGTTTACAGTTTTTCCCCAATGCCTATTACCTATATTAAATGGTGCTTTCCTATCTTTTATATGGTACATTACGTGTTACATGGTTACAGTTTTCCCCAATGCCTATTACCTATATTAAATGGTGCTTTTCTACTCTAAACCAATCTGTGAGTGCCAACATCACCAAGAACATGGAGGTAAGGAAGGAGAAAGAGGGAGGACAGGGCAGGCCCAAATCCCTCCATCTTAAAACCTCTGACCCCCATGTACAAAACCAAAACCCCCCTGTACAGCACTCAAAAATTCTTCCCTTGACTTTGTGACTACTTCTACTATAATATCTAAACTTTTGTGACTTCTTGTTCTTCCTGCAAGGTTGGTAAATCATTCCATGGCTCAAACCCAAAATCACAGCTGTTTCCAGCTGCCTGCCAGGGTCTCAAATGCTTCTGACCTGGACCTGGAACCTCCAAAAATGTCTGAGGGACATTTTGAGTTCCAACAAGCTGTGACCGTGCTCACCACTGAGCCCTGTCCTCAGGTGCCACCTCCACAGGGTTTTGGAACATTTTCAGGAATGGTGACTCCACCACTGCCCTGGGCAGCCTGTTGCAATGTTTGATAAATCTTTCTAGGAAGAATTGTTTTTTTTTCAAATATTTTCAAATCTAAACCTCCTCTGGCTTAACCTGAGGCCATTTCCTCCAGCCCCTGGGAGAAGAGTGAGCAAGGCAGAAGTAAATTCATCAAAATCATCTCTTTGACAAGTTCAGCAAGCTGCTACCACTGTCATCTCCCTTGTACAAAAAGTGCCAGAATCAAACCCATTTTCTGGGCTGAACTGAGAGCTCTGAGCAGTCCTGCAATACATTTATATGGTACCTATTACACCCAGTCTGTGCAGTACCTTTAAAACACATTTTATTTCTTACTGCTAGCTTTTGCTTGAAACCAGGGGAAGGGCTTATGTTTGAAACCATTCCTGTGCAATTATAAAACATCTGTA